AAGAACCCGAAACATTGCATATTAAATTCTAAAGAATTAAGCAATAAAAAGTACGTAGTGGCAGGTCAGAAATATTGATGCTATACCATGAATAAGTGGGTTTATGGTCATTTTATAAAACAAAAAAATAAAAGGTAATTAAGTGGAGAACTCAAGTTCTGAAAACGGGAAAACTTATCACAAACATTGATACCGCCGTTTCCAGCCATGATCCGAACATAAGTGATCGAATTACACGCGGCCCCCTGGTGCTGCTGAAGATAATATTACGCGCATGCACATGGCAATAAAGTGACATGCGCATTGCAATGGCCGGACAAATAGCAACTCCGTGTTTTTAAATTCAACCACACCTACCCTGTTATGATGACTTTTTACAAAGATATTTTACTTGACCCATATATTTTGTTTTCTAGTAATATTAAATTTCAATGTTAATATATGAATAAAGCTTTACAATTATTATATAAAAATAATGGAATTTTAAGCGATTTGATATACTCTTTGTATTATATATTTAAAGAACGAAATAAGTGTCCCAAACACGCTTGAGTATAACAGGTGTACCTGACGTTCTTAACATGATAAGATTGTTACCAATTTTAAGGATTTTTTTTAAATACTGTTGCCGGGGCAGAGATGCAAGTAACTGCTATTAACAGAAAAATCTCTAACATTTATGTGGAAACTTATTTCAATGTAATTTCATGTATGCATCTTCAAGATCCAAAATGATGAAACGTACCTAAATCAGTAGTTTTGCGACAATTGGTATTTAATTAAAACGATTTTAATTTTTTTCTGAATTCCGTCAAAGTACAGTTACTATTTAGGGATAAGTAAGCAAATCATCATACTCGATGTTTAACGAACATGAAAATGTACCGTAGCGCAATGCAAGATATGAAATGCTCCGAGCTTGCATGCTTGCATGAGTTATAAAACGCCAAATAGGATAATTTAACATTTCGAAACGATTTTTCTTGTGCACTTTTTGATTTAATCAATACATTGATTGAGTCATCGGGTCAGAAAAAAAGATATTGATTTTAACTGTATCGCACGTATATGAATACTTCGATACGTATACGTATCCAAATACTTCAGTTCTGCAACATCTCTATTAATACTCATGTCTGCTATTGATTTTAATTATATATCAAAGACGACGTTATACAAATACATACATTGTACATCTATAGTTCTATATATATGAAAAATGTACACAGTAACGCTAGGCACGGATCTGGCGGGGTTGGTGCCTTCATTCGTTTAAACCTATATGATTCTTTTTATGTTGAAATTCAAGATCGGAGTGTAGAAGGTATTCTATGGATTTATTTTAAAGGGAAACATTCTGATTTTAGCTTTTCCGTTGCCGTATGCTATTTACCACCGACCGATTCAAGTAGACCCAGTGATCAAGAAAGGTTTTTAAATGACTTATTGCAACAAGTGCATAGTAATCAGACGAAAGGATATACGATCATATGTGGTGATTTTAATGCCCGGTGTGGATCAAATACAGACTACATTGAAGGTGTTGATGATATAAAGCCACGTACAACTATTGACACTACAGAAAATTACAACGGTGATCTATTTTGTGAATTTTTATCAGACACAAATTTTGCCATGATAAACGGTCGAATAGGAATTAACGATTTTACATATATTTCCCCTCAGGGGAAATCGGTGGTTGATTACATTTGTGTGCCATATGAGCAGTTAGAATCCGTTTTAGATTTAAAAATAATGAGAATGTCAGATGTAATAAATACTTTGAATTATAACCCAGAAAGCATACCCGAACACTCGCTTTTATCTTGTGAAATTAAATATCCAGTGAATGTTGATGAAATTTCAAATCATTACGCAAACGAAGTAAAGATTAAACGTAATGCGCGCAAGATTCCAGATGATTTCTTAATTAGTGATGAAGTGCGACATAAAGTTCTGGATGCTATTGAGAAAATTGAACACTCCGTTTATTTAGATCAAAATGTACAAAACGCATATGACGAATTTCATAAATTGATAATGAACGAAATGGAGACAAAACTACCGCTCCTTCAACAGAAAAATATAAACAAATGTTCGAAGTCCTTTTACAAGCCGTACATGAACCAAACATTACAAACGCAATGGCATTTATCGTGCGAGTGCGAAAAGAAATGGTTGAAATTTAAAGGCCCACCGCACAAAAAGAAACTTTTAAAAGAAAATTATTGTACTGAAAGAAAGATATTTGATAAACTTAACCGTAAATTCAAAAGGAAAATGAACTACACGAAAAGCTTAAATCGACAAACAAACGTGAATTCTGGAAAAGAATTGGAAAACTTGGCATTGCAAATGAAAGGAAAAATCAAATCCCGTGGGAAGTAGTTGACTCGGATGGAAACATTAACACTGGTGAAAAAATTGTGCTGAATAAATGGAAGTCAGATTTTGAGATATTATTTTCTAATAATTTAAACGTGACTACACCTGAGTATTCTGCGGAAAATGACCAAATGGACCTATCAAATTAAAACTGTGCTTTTACACGGGAAGAATCCGTTATTGCTGTAGAGCAAGCTAAACTTTGGAAAGCGGCTAGATACGATGAAATACCGACGGAAGTGCCCAAAAATGAAATCGCAATTGAACTGTTATATGTTATCTGTAACGACTGCTTTGAACTGGGTAAAGTAACCGAGCAATGGACTCAAGGGATAGTTAATCCAATTCTCAAACCAGGAACACAAGACAACCGACTACCATCAAATATCCGGGGAATTACGCTTGTGTCCTTACCCAGTAAGATATATTGTAGTGTACTAAATAATCGCCTGAAAGCTTTTTTTGAAGAAAACAATATCCTTTGTGAGGAGAAGAATGGATTCCGCAGCAAACGTAGTTCATATTTGGAGTTTATTTAGCGTTATTTCAAACAGGAAAATTTCAAAACATTCAACTTTTGTTAGTTTTATTGATATACGGAAAGCTTTTGACTCTGTACCAAGACATTTATTGTGGTATAAACTTCAAAAAGTTGGAATAAGTGGTAAATTTCTGTCTGCTCTACAGTCCTTATATGAAAATGTTAGATCTACAGTTCGTGTCAATGACAGACATACACCATGGTTTAATGTGGACTGCGGAGTTAAGCAAGTCTGTTTATTGTCTCCCACATTATTTGCCGCCTACATCAACGACCTTGCTGAACGTATTAATAATCTAACATTGTGGTGTTCGCATCGATGATACTATTCTGAGTATACTTTTATATGCAGATGTCATTGCACTGATTGCTCCGGACGTTGAAAGTCTCCAGAAGATGTTAGATACAGTTTCGGAGTGGTGCCGTGAATGGAAAATTGATATAGATCCAACCAAAAGTAACGTTATGCATTTCAGGAATAAACCTATCAGTCGATCGGACTTCCCATTTAAATGTTCCGACTTAGATATTGAGTACACTCCTTCATACAAATACTTGGGTTTATGGCTCGACGAGCATTTGACTATGGACAAAGCAGTTAAGGAACTTTTGAAGTCAGCTAGCAGGGCACTAGGCGCGCTATACGGAAAGTTTATTAGTGCTGGTGGAATGTCACACAGTGTGTACACAAAATTATATTCCACTATGTTAGAACCCGTTTTATTCTACGGAGCAGGAATTTGGGGAACTAAAACATTTTCAATGATTAATTCGATTCAGAATAAAGCATCTAAGTTATTCCTGTCAGCCGGTAAATATACATCAAATACCGCCGTCAGAGGTGACATTGGATGGTCCTCGTGTTTTACCAAACAACGTATTGCTTGTATTCGTCTGATGTGTCGAATTACTAGATCCGATGATGTCCGTATTACCCGTAAGATATCAGCATGGATTGCAAATAGGCGTAAGGGATGGTACTACCAAGTTAGCAAAATGATACACAAGATTAATGCTACGGACATAGTCAACGATAATAACATTACGACAAAAACTGCGATGAAAACAATTTATGAGCGTCTAGATATTGTAGACAATGACAAATTTGTTAGCGAACTTTTTAATGACAAAAATAATCCAAACGGCAATAAACTACGTACATATAGACTATACAAAGAAAAAGTAGAAACAGAAAAATATTTGAAACTTCAGTTGCCGAGATCGGTCCGATGAGTTGTTGCCCTGTTCCGAAGTGGATCGCTCCCGTTGGCCATCGAGACAGGCCGATACGTACGACCGCAAATACCAGTTAATGAAAGGAGTTGTAAATTTTGTCCAAATGACGTCATAGAAAACGAAAAACATTTTCTGATGAACTGCACTATGTATGATGACTTAAGATATAATTTATTTTCTCGAGCCAAAAACTTTATAGAAAACTTTGATACTCGTGATATTGACAGTCAGCTTATCAGTCTTATGAAATGTAAAGAAATGCAATCCTCATTATCACAAGCACTTTTCAATTTTTATCAGAGAAGAAAGAAATTTATTTGAAGATTAACATATATTTTCAAAGTTATATTTGTAAAGTCTTTTTATTATTGTTACTATTGTTACTTTTTTAGCACAGATATTTTATCTAGATCCATTTATTTAATATTAATCACATTTAAATTATTTGATTTTTTTCCCCTAGAAATATGTTGTTTTTTGTTTGTTTTTTTTTAAGTAGTTTATCCGGTTTTTGGCAAAACACTTTTCTTTTAATCATTGCTAATGTTTTTAAACTGTAATCCTTTTATCAATATCGTCTATCTAATATTAATTGAAATTTTTACTAGTAACATGTTTTAAAAAGCAGTTTACATAATGTGATAAACCAGTAAATATTTTGGAATTTTATAAGGATATATATAAATAAATCCTCAATCTTTTTTTTTTTATATAAATGTACAGTTGTCTGATATGTTTTAAAGTGTCTCATAAGTCTATTCTAAGGCTGGATATGTGATCTCTGTTTTTATTATGAGTTGTTGTAATATATAGTCTGATCAAATATGTGACACTATAATAAAATAATTATTTATTTATTTATTATATATATTGATATGTGAAAACTGTTGTTTCTTATTTGTGTTTGTAACTATGTATACTGTATTGTTTATTATATTTGTAAAAATAATATTATAATAATATTATATTATGCTCCTTGTGAGCCCATTTGATGGAAATAAAGCTTCTTCTTCTTCTTCTATATCACATTACGAAATTCCCATTAAAATGAGATAAAAGGTTTACATCGTTTTAAATTTCAAATGCAAATATAAAATGAGTAGTATACACAATGATCATAGTTAACTATTCGAAAGTAAAAGCACATAGATAAATGCCAGCACAGCAAATATGAATGCAAACATTGACAATATGTCCATCTTACATGTACTGACAATTTTCCTAGTTGGATCATCTTGACGTGGGTTCAAGACCTTAAATAAAATAAAATGGCATTTACACTTTTTTTTAAATTGAATATCATTTACGTAAACAGTTTTAAAACTATATTTAGTTTAGATAAGCCATGACAAGCACATTTTTTTTTTCGTTTATTGTTTCTTACAAAAATCAGGTCGTGAGTTTTCTCATTTGAATTGTTTTACAGTTGTCATTTCGGGGTCTTTCATAGTTTGCTATGCGTTTTTGCTCACTGTTTAAGGCCGTACAGTGATCTAGTATAGTTGGTAAACTATTACGTCATTTGGTCTTTGATGGAGATTTGTCTAAATTGGCAATCATACCACATCTTATTTTTATACCTGAAGTCGAGTTTAAACATCCCAAGAATAAATAAATGTAAGTTCGAAATGTAAACTATATAATTTATCTTTCCTAGATTAATACCAATAATAATTATAGTATTATAATGATAATAATAATAATAATGAGTTAATGATGATAATAATTTTCACTAGATATATAAAAGTCTCTTAATTTGAAATTACTGAGCCCAATTAATCCTCTTACAATGCTTCGATTACTGCACAAAACAGTTCTTAATCGAGAATAATTAAAATAGCACATTATCAACAACAACAGTAATAAGATAAATAGATAAACCTAACCAAAAGTGAAAATTTGTCTGCAGAATTGTGCGAATATCAGAGAATGCATATGACTATTGTTCAAAACATTAAAAAGACTTGCAATAAAAATTAAACGAGGATACATAATCCTTTTTTTTTTTGCATATGCATTTAGGAAAATTTTAATAATAAACCCTCACTGAAAAACTGATTCATCATAAAATTCGCAATTCATTTGGGCTAATTAGCCTTTAAGTATAACAATATGAAAGGGGCGATTCGCACGACAGGTACTATACATACATTTTACGCATAAATGTCAAAAAAGATTACTAACATGTTATCACCATAGGATTTTCAGGTGATTTTTTTATATCATGATGAATTGTAGAAAAGTTGTCTTTACCTAGTTTATATCATATGATAATCAAATAGTATAATTTAAAATTTAATTATATGTTTTTTCAAGATATCATATATATACTACTCAAAAAAAGTATAGCAACATCACTTCTGACTGAAAATAAATCAATACAAAATTTCGATTTTAGAAATTGTCTTTAACATGTTTAAAGTTTGTGTTTTCGTAATTTCCAATCGTTTGTGTATTTAAAGGTACTACAGTTAAGTTGGTCACATTTCAGACAGCTACACTTCGAGGGAAGGGGTCATAAGTGAAAGCCACAATTGTTTGCACATGGCCTAGATAAAAAAGTTCTTACAACGCACAACATTGACGAAATAGTGAACCTGATGGCATAATTTATTATATATAAACAGAAACTAAAATTTACCTCGCAAAAACAATTGAAAAAAAAGAATTGGGAGGGACACTTTTTTTACCTCCGAAATTGTTCTCATATTTTTTATTAGTTTCCTCCTTAATCACTTAAAAATCGTTTAAAACAGGAATGCTGTCTATTTCAAATAATTTTAAGCATTTTTTACAAAGATATGAGTCCTAAAAGTTTTGCCACCTTCTTGGTGTAGTTTTTTTTAAACACTACGTAAATTTGTGGAATTAACTTCAACATAAAAAACGGTCTTTGATTTGAAAGTCAAGCATGTATAAATACTATTGGAACTATAAATGTATGTCCACAAGGGAAATTTTAATGAATTATAGCCAAACCCATATAAGGTTAACTTGGCGTGAGTTTGAGCTAAGAATCTTTATAATTAAACAAAATACATATATGACAATGGTCCATATGTCAGCTGGAAAATTCTAACCATCTTGATTTTAAACCATCAATAATATAAAATGAAAATAATTTACGCCACCACCGGAGAAGCCTGCTTGTGTCAAGCAGTCTTAATTAAGCAGAAAACATATTAACATGATTTTACCTGTTTTATGAAATGTAATACTGGTACATCAAGCGATGGAATAGTTGTGTTTATATGTACCCCTTTGCTATCGATGTCATCGCAGTAATTTATGATATGAGCAAACCGATACTGCGGTAATGCCAGGTGTTTTCGAAATTCTTCAATTTTTACTTTAACCCGTTCGTTGTCTGGTGGGTATTTGTCCCTAAATGTCATAACTCCATACACAGGTATTTCTATTTAAAAAGAAGAAAATAAAAAGAAGATTAGTTCAAAGGCACTTGAGTTACCTTTGTCATGTTTCTACATTGGATAGTGTTTTACTTTATATTGGCCATATCCGCGAATGTGATATAACAGGGACCACCAAACTGTAATTTTCCTTTAGTTGTCTTTTTTTAAGCGGCCGATTTCACATATACTTGTTTTACTCAAAGGGTCAAAATCTAAAGATTTTCTATTCCGAATGAGAAAATAATATTAGAGGGTCTATATCAACTACCTTAGATCATTTGTATATATTGTGGTTTTGTGCTATCTTATTGCGTTTTTAATTAAAAGATCTGTTCAGAAATGCGGATTGATATTGTTATTTAATTTCAATATAATAATAAACGAGCCTTCGGCAAGTTTATTATTACTATTTAAATCAAATAAAGAGAGTCGATATTAAGCGATATCAAATTCTCACAAGTTGATAAACCTATTTCTCTTAAGGTCAACACTTTCGTTTTGTTAAATTAAAAATTCCGCAAATAGTTGATCTCGTCTTTTGCACAGATAAGTATGACGCCATATGTCCTGTTCCGGTGTCAAACTTTATAATATCGGACATTTTAAACTTTTCGTACGCTTCAGAATATGATAAAATTTGACAAAAAGAAAATGTTCAGGTGAAAAGTATGAGTGTTTTGTATATTATTGAAGAAATCGAATATGTCCGTTGCCATATGTTCCTAACGAATAGCCATTGGAAATGTCGTAATATTGTCTCATGATGCTGGATAAGCCATAAATAAACAATAAACGCAGATTTTCGTATCACTTTTTCGTATCACACTCCGTACAGTGTGATACGAGAAATATCGCTTCGTGCAAGAAATGAATAATCTAATCTAAAAAAAAGACTTGAAAATATTTTTTTTTTATCGTCGTATTTCCTAAAATGTCAGTTTATAAGTTAATGAATTATCAAGAAATTAAGGTTCCAACTCCCTCAGGAGAAATTGGCCTTAGATGGATTTGGCTATTATCTTTATGGCTCGTTTGGTCATGAATCTCTTCGATTTGTCGGTATTCAAATATTTAGCTTGAGCGTTCCTAGTGAAGGTATATCCAGAAAAGCGCTTCGCACTAATACAATTTTCAAAGTTATTTTTCAATTTTTACAGCACTGGATCGACACCTATGCTAGTGGACTATCAGTCCCCGAAGGTATCATCAGCTCACAAATTAACAACAAACATTTCTTCAATTGTCCGTTTATAAGTTTATTAAGTTCCAACTCCCCAGGCAAATATGACCTTTAAGTTAGATGGATTTTGGCTATTATGTTTAGGTTCCATTTTGGTCATACAGCTCTGCCTTTGTTTCGGTACTTGGCTTTTAAATATTTGGCTTTTAGCAATACTGATGAAGGTAAATCCAGAAAAGCGCTTCGGACGCATAAAACTGAAATATGTTTTGTTTGTTTTTCGCTCATTTAATTCCAATGTATTTATGAACATTACCAATTTAGAGATAACTGTATTGTATTTGAAGCTTTGCGGACGTCCATCGGTAGTTTTACTGTCGCAAATTTAGTTTACCTGGCAACGCTTAAATGCAAATATAACATGTACAAAGGAAACATAAAAGTCTTGTCCTTTGAACTTAAAGCAATCTCTATCAGACTTGCATTTTAATCACTCTTATTCAAAGTATTTTCATAATTAACGTTACATGAACTGGGACTTATTTGTGTTCCAAAAAAAATTTATTGACTTAGGGAGCAACCATTTAACTTCAAGGGGGGTTATGGTTTTTTGGCTGAGTCAGCAAATTTTTTTTCGCGAAAAGCTCATCAGCTTGACCACAATATTTTTTTTCATCAAATTGGTTATAATTTATTCGCAAGTTCACGTTTAAACATTTAAATTATCATCCATTAGTTAAGGCTTCTTTTTTTTAACAATTTGAGTCCATTTAGAACCTGTACTAATAGTGAGTATAATAGTCCCAGATGGAATGAGACAAAATTTATTGTTATATTTAGTTTAATTATTTTAACATACACAGATTGCAAACCAATTTCCTTTTATTTCAAATTATAAAGAATTTACATTGGCAATAATTTGATTATTATTTTTTTTAAATATATATTGTTTTCTGTTCAGTATTAAATTTATAATTAAGATCCATTTATTACATCGGTGATCCGTTTATTTGGCAATCGCCAATGGCAGTCAGCAGGGTTTGGGAACATTTGTTGTTCGACCTGTTAGTCAAATGCGTTATGTTAAAATATACTTTTCACTTTTTTGGTCTTTTGGAAAATGTTGTTTGTGGTGTATTTAGACCCCTCTAACAAGAAATTTGTTTTGCATGCACACGTATAAAAATTGCGGTTTTTATCCAACGCAATCATAGGTTTGAACGTTGTTTTCAATTTAGACTTGTTTATATTTTTTCGTTTGGGCTTGTATTATATTTGCCTTCGGGTTTATATGATCCGTTCATCCTATTTTGACTCTTTCCAAATTCAAGAGTCTATCCTAAATTGAGGTAAATTGTATGGCTTTCCAAATACCGTTTCGATTCCTAACATCACTGAAGAGACATTAATTGTCGAAACCCGGATATGGTGTACAAAAACCGTTGCACCTTTTGTTTGCAGTATACCATCTTTTCCGCAAGTTTATTGTTTTCTGTTTAGTATTAAACTTATAATTAAGATCCATTTATTACATCGGTGATCCGTTTATGTGGCAATCGCCAATGGCAGTCAGCAGGGTTTAAGAACATCAGTTGTTCGACCTGCTAGTCAAATGCGTTTTGTTAAAATATACTTTTTCACTTTTTTGGTCTTTTGGAAAATGTTGTTTGTGGTGTATTTAGACCCCTCGAACAAGAAATTTGTTTTGCATGCACACGTATAAAAATTGCGGTTTTTATCCAACGCAATCATAGGTTTGAACGTTGTTTTCAATTTAGACTTGTTTATATTTTTTCGTTTGGGCTTGTATTATATTTGCCTTCGGGTTTATATGATCCGTTCATCCTATTTTGACTCTTTCCAAATTCAAGAGTCTATCCTAAATTGAGGTAAATTGTATGGCTTTCTCAATACCATTTTGATTCCTAACATCACTGAAGAGACATTAATTGTCGAAACCCGGATATGGTGTACAAAAACCGTTGCACCTTTTGTTTGCGGTATACCATCTTTTCCGCAAGTTTATTGTTTTCTGTTTAGTATTAAACTTATACCTAAGATCCATTTATTACATCGGTGATCCGTTTATTTGGCAATCGCCAATGGCAGTCAGCAGGGTTTAAGAACATTTGTTGTTGGATCTGTTAGTCAAATGTGTTATGTTAAAATATATACTTTTTCACTTTTTTGGTCTTTTGGAAAATGTTGTTTGTGCTGTATTTAGACCCTCTAACAAGAAATTTGTTTTGCATGCACACGTATAAAAATGGCGGTTTTTATCCAACGCAATCATAGGTTTGAACGTTGTTTTCAATTTAGACTTGTATACACAAATCGTCGATAGCTTCAGCAGTAGCATTCCAAAAAAGGGAATTGTAACACGGTAACTTAGAATTTAGTTAAACTGGCAAATCTACCGATCGTATGTGGATCCCGCATTTCATCGATAAATTTGAAATAAAAGTCTAAATTGAAAACAACGTTAAAACCTATGATTGCGTTGGATAAAAACCGCAATTTTTATACGTGTGCATGCAAAACAAATCATAGGTTTGATCGTTGTTTTAGAAGTCTAAATTGAAAACAACGTTCAAACCTATGATGCGTTGGATAAAAACCGCAATTTTTATACGTGTGCATGCAAAACAAATTTCTTGGTAGAGGGGTCTAAATACAGCACAAACAACATTATCCAAAAGACCAAATGAGTGAATAAGTATATTTTATCAAAACGCATTTGACTAGCAGGTCGAACAACTAATGTTCTTAAACCCTGCTGTCTGCCATTGGCGATTGCCAAATAAACGGATCACAAGATGTAACAAAATAGATCTTATTATTAAATTATTACCAAACAGAAAACAATAAACTTGCGGAAAAGATGGTATACTGCAAACATGAGGTGCAAAAATTTGTACATTATCCGCATTTCGACAATTAATGTCTCTTCAGTGATGTTAGGAATCGAAACGGCATTTGGAAGGCCATATAAATTAACCTCAATTTAGGATAGACTCTTGAATTTTGAAAGAGTCAAAATAGGATGAACGGATCATATAAACCCGAAGGCAAATATAATACAAGCCCAAACGAAAAAATATAAACAAGTCTAAATTGAAAACAACGTTCAAACCTATGATTGCGTTGGATAAAAACCGCAATTTTCATACGTGTGCATGCAAAACAAGTGTCTTGGTAGAGGGGTCTAAATACAGCACAAACAACATTTTCCAAAAGACCAAATGAGTGAAAAAGTATATTTTAACAAAACGCATTTGACTAGCAGGTCGAACAACTGATGTTCTTAAACCTTGCTGACTGCCATTGGCGATTGCCAAATAAACGGATCACAAGATGTAACAAAATAGATCTTATTATTAAATTGTTACCAAACAGAAAACCATAAACTTGCGGAAAAGATGGTATACCGCAAACATGAGGTGCAAAAATTTGAACACCATATCCGGATTTTGACAATTAATGTCTCTTCAGTGATGTTAGGAATCGAAACGGTATTTGGAAGGCCATATAAATTAACCTCAATTTAGGATAGACTCTTGAATTTTGAAAGAGTCAAAATATATAAATATAAACGTATTGCAAAGGAATTCAACATTATACCCTGTCTAGATCGAGTATGTATGCATATTTTGGATAGCCCTGGACTTTATGAAGTAGAAATTTATTTCTGTGTTGGAATTATTTGGTTGCAGCAGTAAAAATATATACAAAAATATTAAAGTATCTCGTGGAATAATATAATATGGCCCAGAGTAACTGGAACTCTAAAATAATGATTAAATATGTTTACCTAATTGTTTTACATATGTCTGTAGTGTAAAATATATTTAGTAAAAAGATAATTAATCATTTTAATTATTTTCACTTGTAAATAACAGCATATGGTGCTAAATATATATAATAGTACAAATAAGCTTGTTCATGAAAAGTGTCAACAAAGGGACGTAACTCGTAAATTACTAGTGGAACCGCTTCGTCAGAAATTTCGACACATCGAAGTGGCACATTTGCGTATTACAGCGTATTAAGTGGCACAAATTTGACACAGGCCAGTTCATAAAAAGCCTCATCACATATTTTAAATTCAGCATAGGTTCCCCAGAAGTTAAGAAGGAAATTTATACTTATGTGTTGAAAAAAATTGACGCGACGGGTGATAACCTGGGGTTTGAAGGCTTCGTATTCTAATTCAGTACATTTAATCAAAACAATTTGTATGTTAGAACTTCCAGAAAGTATACGCAGTTTGCATGTATAACGTACAGCATGCTTTGATTTCATTTGATATGACTTTTTGGAGGAAAAAGACTCGTTTCAGTTGAAGAAAAAATGACAAAAAAAAATGCCCAAATATGGTAGTCACATGACTCCCATTGTTGTCTTAAGAAATGGGGTCAAACCGGGGTCAGCTTTCCGACTGTTTTGACCACATTATTATGTTAATTTGATTTTAATTTTACGTTGCTTTTAGTTACTTTGTTGTCGTATTAGGCAATAACCGTTCCGCCAAAGACAAAAATGTCAAGTACATGCAGATGGAGGATTTATACTTTCCTTGACTGGAAGGATTATTTATATTGTTTGTTATTGCCGTTATTTGCTTCCATTACTGTTCACTTAACTTTTTAAAAAAAATATTTGTAATCCCCTATCTGTATCTCTTCTTTGTAGAGGCTATTGCCATTATAATTGACAATAACCTGTTTTGAGATAAACTAATTTGTCAATTAATTAGCTTATGATACTTGATCAACATGTCACGGAACATAACCGATTCATTATTAAAAAACAATTGTTCACAGAACAATTGAAGGTCTTTTCACCAAAAAATCATGTGTTTTAATATGAAAATATAAAAATCGAGTTTAAAATGTTATTTCCAGTGTCAGACTGAAGTAGCTAACCGTACGCTGATTCCAAAAATATATGGTTTCTATACACTTTTGTTTGAAATAAGGGAGATAATGTGTTACTTCCGGTTTGAAAAATGTCACTTCCGGTAAAATATGATAGTTAACTTGACACTGATTCCAAAAATATATGGTTCTATATACTTTTATATTGAATAAATGCAAAAATAGCTACTTCCGGTTCATACAAGGTCACTTCTGGTTGGCTTTTTCAAGGTCATATGGTTTGCATCCTAAGCAAGAAGTCTAATGACTCTATCATGTATAAATATGAAGTTTAAGCAAAGGTCAAAATCTAGAACGTCAAATTTACCTATGACCTTGACCTACATTTCAAGGTCATAAAGTAAGGACCTCAAATCAAAAGACCCTAGGTCCCTACTATATATATGGTTAATGAATTATTACACCATACAGCTAGTTTTAAATATGAGAGGGGAGAAAACTCGTTCCCGTTCAACAAAAAATTATGTGTTTTGACAAGTCGCATATAACAATTTAGTAAAAATATTTTGTTAAATCTTATATGGCTTCTGATAATAAGTAATAACAAGAAAAAAATCTAAATTTAGAACATGACCTTGATCTTTGACCTTGACCTCATTTTTCTTTTAGTGGACAAAGGACCTCAAATCAAAAACACCCCGGGTCTCTATCACTTATGGTTTACCAACAACAAATACATAACACTTATTTCAAATACATAAGGGGAAATAACTCTCATATGGAGTCTCGTAACGCTTCGGTCAAAATTAAACGTAACATTCTTAGGATATAGCGAGCAATTTGGAAAAATAAATTTGTCGCTATCTTGTACGGTTGGAAAGAAGTATTCATAACAAGAAAAACAATGTGCGGGGAGATAACTCTTACAAATAAAAGTGTTTGGTTAAACATGGTCAGTTTCAAAAGCGTATAAACTGTACGATATCATATACAAATAATCTTAGCAACATCTTTTGAAACAACAATACAGCACAAGAAAAAAATTAGGCGGAAAAAAAAAATAATAATCAGAACAAAATCAATAGGTATTTCCACGGAAAAGTGGAAAGACCTAAGTATGGTAAAATAAATACTTAAAGTGAAAAAAGAAAAAAAAAAGAAAATATTAGAACTATCAACTGAAACTTTCAGCATGTATGGCCTGCAGTATTACCATAAAACAATTATTCACAAGCATTTAAACCACACTGATGATTTATATATTAACCTTTGCTTATTTCTGGATTTACACCACATGCACACTACATATCAGTAAATAAATGAATACATGAAAAAAAAACTTTTAAAACAAAGGATGTTGTTTTGCTTATGTATGTAATACTAGCATTTCATAGTTACCCCTGTGTTTTGTCTTCGCTTTCCATACAGCATTGAAGAAGTTCGTTGGTAAATTGACATTAGGATTTGACGTACAGACTACAATTATCCGATCAACTGGACGATGGCACACTCCTTTTCGAATGAAATAATTAAATCCGGAGCTTTTTGCCCTTGTCAATTCTTCCTCTTCCCTTATTCTACCAGCAAATACCAACTCGAGAAGCGCCAAAGTGTTTGCAGAGTCTTCGTCCTCAAACCCAGTCATGTCCAAAAATGTTGGCATTAGATAAGTGTCTGTTGGTTTGTAGTAAACGTCTTTGGTGAAGCTATAAAGAATATCATTTACACTAAAATAATGTATATAGCAAATTTTCTAACCTTTTGAGTAAAGTGTTTCGGCATGCATGCAAACCATTGATGATTCCGTGAAAACGTTGGATATTGTGACACTACAACATTAGATCGACGTTATTGTTGAATCTAGTCTTAGATGAAGTTGTAGTCAGTTCAACTTGAAACTAAGTACACATGTTATCAAAATATATTCTTTCTAAATTGAATGCCAAAAGCATTTGACACAAATTTCACGGTTCACTGAATATGGAAAATGATTGTGCAAGCAATTCATCATAGACAAATATTCTTGTTTTTTTTCAAATTCAATTCGTTTACATTTTATTCTCATTTCTAATCTGCAATGTACTATTATATAGCCATTATGTGTTTGGGGGATAGACACTCCGTTTTTAATATTTTGTTTGCAATAATTGATATCTGTTAACAATCTCGGTTTAGAGTTTGGAAAACACAGAAAACTTAAGAAGACGTCAAAATATGGTTACTTTTAATTTCCCAACTAGTCCCTTTCCCAATGGTGTAAAATCCGGGCACTTTCATTTATATAAATACATATGCGTTATCAAAGACTGTCCTGATAATAGACACATACAGAATTTTATCAAACATCAAACGTCTGACACAGGTTTGTGACTCTGAGATGAAGAACAGCAATAAAAGCGCTGATTTTTTGCTTTTTGTGTGTTTTTCGCTGTGCATGTACTGATTGTGTGTCATGGATGGATACCCCATATCTTTTGTTTTTCTATTTATTAGGATGTTTTGACTTTTTTCGAATTGCTGGCACGTTATTTTTTTAAAGAAACTACATTTCTTTTCTGATTGATATTGATGCAGACATTTAGCAAGCAAGCTAGTCACTGCATTCAACTACAGACGTCATTGGTGTTGTAGTTTCCCCTTTCACTTCAAATGCTTGACATCTCTGGTCATTTAAACGTTCAAAAACAATATATACCGTACTGGTAGCTAGATTTTCTTTTTAACAGAACGCTGTTTAATAATGTGGTTTTGTGGTTTTCACATATACCACATTATGATTCTTTGACAAGTTGATTCTCATTGTGTTCTTTAGTGGTCGCTAGAATTGGTCGCTAGCTTAAGTCTGGTAAAAAAAAGTTTGATTTCTTATCTGGTTACATACTTTGTAACAAAATTGAATATCATAAAGTGTAAATAAAAAGGTTAACATTTATTGTGCGATTAATGTCTTTAAAAAAGAATTATCGTTTTAAATTTGACAGTAACTGTTTCTGTTTGACAAAAGTTTGCGGTAAATCTCGTATACGAATAAGAAAAATTTAACCTATCGAAGGAACATAACCTATTCGACTCAATACAACACTAATGTATAAAAACATAACATTCATTACTTTTATACCTTATTTTTTATAATTGACAAAGGATTAGTGAGCATTCTCAGTTGGAGTTCTAGTCGTAGAAGCATTGCAAGGGATTATGTCTTTGTTTTCGATATATTTGGAAAAAGCAGTGCTACAAGTATGGAAAGCCAGCGTGGTCAAAATTCTAAATTCGTAAATTGTCAATTTGTAACTTGTAACTGTGTAATTTCAAAATGCTTAATTCGTAAATTGTCGATTTGTTCCTTGTAACTGTGTAATTTCAAAATGCTGAATTCGTAAACTGTCAGTTTGTAACTTGTAATTAAGTAATTTGTGATATGTATATTTGTAATTCTTCAATTCGTGATTTGTCAATCTTCTTTCTTCTTTTCTTTTCTTCGTATCAGCTTCCTATTATAAGGAACACCCCTTAACGGGTACTCTTAAAAAGTTCAATAGGGGTGGACAAAAAAAAACAAAACAAGGGTAAAATATATTACATCAAGGTAAAATCCAATGGTGGTGCGCTATACATTGACAGTGAAATGTAAAAGTAAAAATCATAACAGATAAAATATACGATGATATACATAAAAAGAATAACACCAATCATAAAAAGGTCCTATAACCTAAAAAATGTAGTCATTCATTTTACCAGTAAATAGCATTCTTAAAATTATATACAAATAAAGTACTTGTTACAGAATAGTTGGAACGATATATATAGTAACAATAATTAGATTTCAAAAATTATCTGATATTTCACTTTTCCATTGTCTATGTTTCACCATCAGATTCTTAATGACACTTGTCAGCCGTCTAGCTTTTTTAAAAGAGATAATCTATGGTAATGTAACTTGAAGCAGAAGTGTCTTGTAAGGGTTTCCAGTTTAAGAATTGACTCTTCTTTAAATCCTAGTTGTTTAGTATATTTTGTACAGTCCAGTACAAGTTGCGTAACTGCTAGCTTGTTGTTAAACAGCAGTTTCCAAGTTCCGGGAGGAGAGTTTTCTGTCACAAATTGTTTAATAGGAGTGAAGTATTTTTTTCTCTCATTGCCTAGAACTGGGCATGTTGTTAGGACATGTAAGATATCCTCTATTTCCCTGTGGCATAGCAAGCATGTGGGGTCAATTGTATTTTGACTGAACTTGTGTTTGTCGGCTTGCACCATGTATGTCCCAGTAAGCATCCTTACTTTAGTTGTGGCTTTTCGTATTTCTATCATGTTTTGCCCTACTGAGTCCCACACGGGATGTGTTGTTTCTGCAATGCCAAAGTTGAGGTTCAGAAATTTTAAAGATGACATTTGATGAGCTTCCTCTTTAAGTTTAAGAGTCCAGAAGGTAGAGATTTCTGTTTTTACTAATTTCTTCCATGATAGTTTTGATGGAATGGCAGTGTTTTTGTCTAAGATGTCTGGTAGATTGTATTTTGATAGTAATAATGCAGTTTGAAAGAAGAAGCTATTGTTGTTGTCATAGTTCACTGCGATTTGTCTGTTAATGATTTCTTGAATTTTCTTGTTGGAACAGGTTGTAAGGGAGTGTTGAAATGTTAATTTTCTCTTGTGAATTTCTGCTTCTACAGGGAGAACTCCAAGAAGTAAGTATACCGCAGGTTTCGCTGTCCTCGTGGCAAGAGCTTGTATTGCACGCAGTGTACCAATATGGATCGGAACCTCTCCAGAATCTGAATCTGAGTTTTAGTTAGGGAAAGGATTTCAAGACCATATAGTAGTCGTGGTAGCACATATGTTCTATATACTGTGTAGGAGACTTTAGGGCTTAGTCCATTTGTACCATGAAGTCCTGAATTTTTAAGGGCATATTTTGTTCTTCAAGCAGATTTTACACGGTCTTCTATATTTACATGTACTTCATTTTCTTTTTTGCTTGATCTTTTTAGGCCTAAATGAGTAGTTTCATTTTAGAGTTGAATTATATTATCTGATAAATTCCAGGTATTAGTGCTGTGATACTTTGCAGATCCGTAACAGATGACTTTCGTTTTTGTTGGATAGATATTGTAATGATGTTGGTTTGCATATCTTCCAATGATATTTAGCATTATTTGTATTTCTGCTGGGTTGGAGCTTATCAGGGTAATGTCATCAGCGCAGGTAGGCGTCCCACAGTATATGTTTCCAAGACTAAATCCTATTAATTTTTTCTCTAATTCTACTAGGAGATCCTCTACAAATATCTTATAAAGATGGGTTGACAGTATTTCACCCTGCCTGACTCCTTGGAGAATATTGAAGCTGTCGCTAAGTTCTCCTTGCCATTTGACTTTAGATGTAAGACCAGAGTATAGATCTTTGATGACAAGCCACAGATCTGGATGTATGTTCCTGTCTAGCATTTTATCGTGGAATATCAGATGCTGGACTACATCAAAGGCAGATTGGACATCTACAGTAGCCAGATAAAGAGAGTTGTTTTTCCGTTCACATTTGCATTCTGGTATAATGGGACTAGCAATTAGTGGGCATAGCCCTTCTGTAAATCCAAATTGTAGATCAGTGTTAGGAGTAATACTGAGTTTGCCAAGAATACAAAGTTCAAGAGATTACAGGGGTTACGGTGATTCCTCTATAGCTGGATACTAGACATTGGTTTTTTTCCTTTTTAAGTACAGGAGTTAGAACTCCAGACTTGAATTTAATTGGGACTGCTCTATTAATGAGGATATTATCAAATACATTTGTGAGCGTCGGTGTGACTATTTCTTTGGCAAGTTTTATGTGTTCTGCACATAAGCCGTACTCACCAGGGGATTTGCCAGTGTTTAGGTTGTCTATAGCTTTGGAGATGTCATCTTCTTTGTATGGTTCTATATTTGTTTGTTGGTTATGTAGAACTTCTTCCACGAGTCGCTGCCTTGTTTGGCATAGTTCCAAATATGAGTTGTCAAATTTTGATTCTTTTGGGATACTGAGGTCTTCGTAGTAATTTGCGAATGCCTTTCTCTGTAAAGTAGGATTGAATTCTAATTCACCCTTTATATCTATACCTGTTGTATTTGCTCTAGGTTTGGATCTATTCCTATTGATTAATTTGTAGAATAATTCTGTGGATGGATTATCCATAATTTGCTGGTATATATTTAATCTATCTTCAGCATGTTCCTTTCTTAGCTGACTTCGGAGATTTTTCTTTTCTGCTTTTAGTTTTTTCCTGAAAGGGTGATCCGATTGTTTGCCTTCAAATTTCCTTTTTGAGTATAACTGTTTGCAATTTTTAAGATGTTTTTTAACTCTAGGTGATGCCTTCCAGAGGGAGATCAGTCTGGTCCCATTGAAGCTTATAAACTGTTTGAATTTCTTCATTGGTTTTGTTTACACAAGTTGGGATGACAATGTTAGTAGTCACTGATACTGGCACATGTGCTGAGACATTTGTAGATGAATTATTCCAAATTGTATACTTTTTAATCAGATTTTCTTTAGAGGAGAAAATGTAATCTATTTGGGACCTTAATTGTCCTGAATGATGGAAAAAGGTTTTTCTGTCAGATTTATCATTATCAGCAGTAAAGTTAAGTTCTTGAATGAATTCCTTTAGTAATTGATCATGCTTATTATTTCTTGTTTGTAGAATTGTCCCATTCAGATCTCCACATAG